TTTTTTTGAATTACAAATAAATAAACTATCTTATAAGATTTTCAAGCAAGGTCGAACTTAGTTATGGTAACTTCTTCACTTTCATTAAAAAGCCACATTTTTTTTTTATTTTTAGAAAGTTCTACCTCAACAAATTCTTTTAAACTTTCAGTAAAAAAGATAAAACATTCAATGAAAGAAAAATAAATCAAAGTATTTATAAAATCTTCTTTTCAATTCACATATGTAACATGACAGAATAATGAAAAAGAAAAGAAATTAAACAAAATAATAAGACACTACTGTCAACTGTACTTTCTTAAAGATGATTGAAACTTTCAGTTATTTTGTATTATGATATGACCATTGCTTATACTATTGTGATTTCTATGATTATATAATGATGAAAAATGACTCGTATAGAAATTTGAATAATATAATTTTGCTCTCAGTTTTTATGAATCTATGACATTTGTTTTCCATATAGTTATTTCTCAACAAATACTTTGTAGAAAATTCTGATCAACTGATAAATAAATATATTGAAATTAGATTATGTTAAGTTAATAAAAAAGCACAGTTATTCGAGTCGAATTACCAAATCAGTTTTACATACTGCTCATGACTTCATACATCTTAGTTTTCGCTTAATTATTTATGAATGATATCAATTTATTATTTAAACTTTTAATTGAAAAAAAAAAGAACATGATTTTATTTGATTATTATTGTTTATGAGCACAAGCCAGAAAATTTGTTTGATTATAATAAAAGTCGATTGTTTTATCAGTACATGCTCCTCCTTCAGTTGGACCCACATGTGGACAATGTATAGATGATAATAAAGGTACAAAATATGAAATAACATTTCCTTGATCTGCTCTATCATATGAACCATAAGGTATTTGTGTTCTTAAAAATTGTTGACAATCATTGAAACTTGAATATTGTTGTAATGTTCCAGTACAGAACCTTTGTGTAACATTACATATTGTATTTATTTTTGCTTGATGTGCTTCATTTGTATGTGGATCTAATGCTAATCCAACATGTCGTAATTAAATATTTTTCGTCATAAGCAATACGTATTAAATTAAATGATTGAATAGCATTTTCTCGTGTTGGTATGTTTCGTATTGGACAAACAGCTCCGTATAAATATTGAAGAGCTAAAATTGTGCTTGGAAATGTTCCAATCGGTATAACACGATCAGATAAACCTTTTGGAGATATATATTTAGATTGTATATTATTATCATTGAATAAAACTTGAGAACAGAGTGGAGGTAATAATGATTGATATGTGGCATTGTATAATCGTTGATAAATCTTGTTTTTATTCTGTGGTAAATTATGCCATCTTCGACATTGACAAAATGATAATTTCATTTTTATTTATCTTTATTGTAAAATTTGAAGATAGAGATCTAAAAATAATACAAAAAAAAACAAGGAAATGATAATGTTAATTGTATTATTCATATAACATTGAATAACTCAATCAACAAACTATGAAATTATAGTTAGGATTTTTTTAAATATACGTACTTGAAAATTAGAGTCTCGAAATTTATCGGTTGTTTCCGCTTGATTGAATATATGCCACACACTACTATTCTTCAGTGATGATGATGATGATGATAATTGTTTCGTTCTTATAGATGACTGCGAAAAAACCCATATATTATTATTAGATATTTCGATTTGTATATGTAGTTTATTGGGTTCGTGGGGATGACTGTAGGACAAACAAACAAAATTGCAGTACATAGTTCTATATATTAAAAACATACGAATGTCCTAAAATATGAGTTAAGAAAAAAACAAAATTAGAATTTTCTAGGACTTTTCATTGCCACATTTTCTTCTTTAAGATACAGTGCAATAGAATGCTATGCAACTTTCATAAGATTATTGTGAATACTTCGGAAGAGATAATTCTTGAAACAAAAAATAGTGTTTATTGTTTTTTTTTGACAAGAAAATTAAAACGTATTTGTTTTTTTCGATCTTATCCGATCATTTTCAACTTTATAACACCAAATAGAACAAAAAGAAATATAATTTTCTTGTATTAACATAAATCTATAAATATAATATCATAATGATTAATATCATTTGATAATACATGAGTAATCATAAATGACGACGTAAGTTATAACGGAATCTATGTTAATGACTGCATTAAATCATAGATTATAATATCAATCTATAATTAAATTAATAGATGTTCAAGCTTAATGTAGGGTTTAATGAGTTGATTAATCTATATCTTAATTAATTGATGCATATTATAACTCATATTGTTATTAATGATAACCGATTGATTATAAGAAAATATTGATATATGTTAGATTATATTTATAGGTTTATATTAATACAAGAAAATTATTTCATACTATTTTTTATAAAATTTTTGATCTATATGGTAGAAAATGGCTGTGTAAGACGTAAAACTTTCCAACATATTTTTTTCTTTGTTAAAAAAAACAGTAAAAAATTTTGTGTTAACTGAATACTATATTTTCATTAATATATTTAATTATGAATTAATATCAATGTGTATTTTATTTCATACAAAAGATATGGACGATGAACAGCACAAGTTCAATGCAAATAAATATTTTTCATGCTGAAATATATCAGAGAGACAGAGAGAGAAAAGGAAAGATGCTATGATTCATGTTAAAGTAAATTGCTGATAATAGTGAATTTTCAGAGACAAACTCATGAAGAAAATTGAATAAAAGTATGGATGTAAGTAGGATTACTTGCTCTTCAATTTCATGTCCACATCCTGCACATGCAAGTATTTGCAAACATCATAGTCATGTATGATCTCTAATAAAGTGAAAAAATATTTGCCAGTAAATACATTTTTCAAAAAAAATTTCTTGTAAATACATGCACTTTTCACACTTTTGCGTTTGACTGGACATTCTAAAATATCAAGCCATGACATGCCTAACTGGGACACTTGAAGCGCCCTTTTTGTTTTTTGTTTTTTTTTAGACATGTGAGGTGTCTCATCGAGACATTTCAAATGTCAACAGATGATCAATTTTAGATCTTCAGATGAATCAAGATAAACCATCTAGTAAGATGCGTTGTATTTGAAGTCAATTGATTGGTTCATATTTCGATAGATAACTTGAAATTTGTACATTTATTTATTAGAATTAATTGACTGTGTTGTCTTAGCTTTGCATAGTTTTCTTTCAAAATTATGGATTGAATTTAATATTGACATTATTAAACAATATATGAAAGATAACAATTCAAATACATATTGTATTTATTTTAAAAAAATTCATATGAAAATAGATTTTTTATAAACAATGATGATATACATGGTTTGATTAAAAATGAAAATATATTGTATAGAGAATTTTGAAGATAAAGAGCTTGAAAATACGACAACAAACAATCATGTTAAACATACAGATATAGATTAAAAATTTTATAAATGCATTCCATTACATCTCAGTCAGACAAGTGTTGCAAAAAACGGCGTTTTTACGCGTAAATAAATGCGGAAACTTCGGATTTAAATCCGAGAGTAATGTGTACTTCAAAAAGTGAATCATACAAATCAATCATCCTAGACTG